GATTTCGAGCCACTTCTGGAAGGAAGGCAGCGGGAGCTCGTATCTCACGGTACGGGCAGGCGAGGCGGAGCAGACCCTGACGACTCAGGGATACAAGGGGACAGTAACGACTGTCCCAAAGGCTGGGGAACAACTCAGTGAAGGGATGATTTTCCGGTACCCGATCATCTCGTTCTATTCTTTCAGTTGGACGATGACAGATTTGTGTGGGTGAAGAGGCACGTGCCCTCCTGAAAGGGGAAATGCCAGAGAAGGTATTGATCTCTGGAACGGGGGTACAGAAGGGTGGCACCATACGTGGAGCCACCGATGGGGCCTGTCTTGGACCTGTCAGCAGGATGCTCGATGCAGATTCTCCGGTAGAAAGCATGACTCCAGGTCCAAGGGGGGAGGGTTAAGCCTTGCTGCTGCAACTGCGGAGACCCCCGCAATGCCGCGTCTCTGGCATGCAGGGCAAGGCCACAATCAAAGTTTATTTCGGCGGTTCCCCCGTAAGGAATCGCAGAAAAAGCTAAGGGCCCGGCCACCTCGCTGGCACAGGTGCGGAAGAGACGGCAACGAAGGCCCCCAACGCCTGGCCGCCGCGCGTGGCGTGGTGCCAAAGGGGAGCGATCAACCCTCAGGATGACCGACAGTTGCAAGTGAAAGGAGAGCCGCGGGATAGTGATGCGGATTTTTCTGGGGAGGAATTATCGGCATTCACCTAGATGCTGCAGAAACTGATGCAGGGAATGGGTGTAATTAAAAAAAAAAAAAAAAAAAAAAAAAAAAAAAAAAAAACGCTGGCACAAGTTGTAGACAGAGAAACCGAGGAACAGAAACAGGGAGAGGAGGCTGTCACAGAAACTCCCCCCAAAGACGAAGAAATAGATTACAGAAATGTTAGTGGTTCTGCAGAGGGACAAAGTGAAGATTGTAAGATAAAGATTCAGGAAAGGAAAATAACAGCGAATGTAGTGAGAGGAACATCCTTTGCGGATTTCAGGTCACTCCCGCTGAAGTGCAAAGATCAGGAGGAAGCCTCTTGAAATGAATGGAAATTATGCATTAGAGAAATGGGGACGCGACACAGGGCTGATGGAGCCTTTCTTGAAACAGAAAAACAAGTGATATAGAGTAACCCAGAAAGGTGTCACCCAGATGTACACCGAGGGCAGTCAGATTTAACCAGTTGTTTCTACACAGTCTCGCACTTCTTGACATGAGTAATTGCGTTTGGCCTGGCTCAAGACCTGACTCAGGAAAGCGTGAACAGGATACTGTTGATAGTGTAAGAGTGTCTTAGCCATAGAAATCTGTTAATTGAACTAGGATAGATCCAATGGAGTTGTGTGTCTGTGTCTCACTTGTTGATATAACTATGTTTTGTATGTGAAATGTGAGCCCACATAGGGACTTGTTAAGATAGGGGTGAGGATAACCTAAATTACCTCATCCTTTTCAGATGTAAACTTTTGTCTTAATAAACTTGTCAAATAAAAAAAATTCTCTCTCTCTCTCTCTTTCCCTCCCTTTCTCCCTCTCTCCCCTTCCTTCTCTCTCTCTCTCTCTCTCCCTCCCTCCCTCCCTCCCTCCCACCCTCTCTCTCTCCCTCCCTCTCTCTCTCTCTCTCTCTCTCTCTCTCTCTCTCTCTCTCTCTCTCTCTCTCTCTCTCTCTCTCTCTCCCTCCTTCCCTCCCTCCCTACCCCCCCCCTCTCTCTCTCATATTTTCTCTCTCTCTCTCTCTCTCCCCCCTCCCCCCCTCTCTGTCTCTCTCTTTCTCTCTCTCTCTCTCTCATTATTTACAAGACTGCAGATGATAATGTAACCAAATCTTCAACAGTTATTGCTTTAATTCATGATTTATGATTTGCGTTTCATATTATTTTGCTTTATCACGACTTCCAACGATTTTTTTTTAATCAAACATTCGGAGGAAAGTCGGCCCTTCTTTAAAACGGTTGGCGAAGAAAAGAACATCGCATAACTGTCCTTTATAACATCGAATACTTTTTACATAGTCTGTGTTACTAGCTTACTGACGAATACATATAAGTTCATTATGCAATACAATATTAAAAATCAAGTTATTCTACTAATTTATTTAACTATTTGTATAAATTATACATAAACTTGAAATAAAAAAGCACTCAGATCCTTTAGAAACAAACAAACAAAACCACTCGGATCCTTTAAAAACTAAATAAAAGCACTCGGATCCTTTAAAAACTAAAAAAAAAGCACACGGATCCTTTAAAAACTAAAAAAAAAACAAAACACACGGATCCTTTAAAAAATAAAAAAAAGCACTCGGATCCTTTAATAACTAAAAAGAGCATTCGGATCCTTTAAAAACTATAAAAAAAAGCACTTGGATCCTATAAAAACAAAAAAAAACTAAAAAAAAAAAACCCACTCGGATCCTTTAAAACTAAAAAAAAAAAAAGCACTCGGATCCTTTAGAAAAAAAAAAAACACTCGGATCCTTTAACAGCTATAAAAAAAAAAAAAAAGCACTCGGATCCTTTAGAAAAAAAAAAAACACTCGGATCCTTTAACAGCTATAAAAAAAAAAAAGCACTCGGATCCTTTAGAAAAAAAAAAAAACACTCGGATCCTTTAACAGCTATAAAAAAAAAAAAAAACACTCGGATCCTTTAACAGCTATAAAAAAAAAAAAAGCACTCGGATCCATTAAAAACTAAGAAAAAAAAAACCCTACTCGGATCCTTTAAATACAAAACAAAACAAAACAAAACAAAAAGCATTCGGATCCTTTAAAAACTAAAAAAAAAAAGCATTCGGATCCTTTAGAAACTAAAAAAAGCACTCAGATCCTTTAAAAAAAAACCTACTCGGATCCTTTAAAAAAAAAAAAAAAAAAAAAAAACATTCGGATACTTTACAATACTAAAAAAGCACTCGGATCCTTTTAAAAAATAAAAAAGCACTCGGATCCTTAAAAAAAAAAAACACACACACGGATACATTAAAAACTAAAAAAGAAAAAAAAATTGGATCCTTTAAAAACAAAACAAAAAAAAAAATCGGATCCTTAAAAACAAAAAAAAAAACAAAAAAACACACACTCGGATCCTTAAAAAAACAAACAAAAAAAACACTCGGATCCTTTAAAAACTAAAAAACAAAACAAAAAAACACTCAGATCCTTTAAAAACAAAAACAAAAAAAAAAGCACTCGGATCCACTAAAATCTAAAAAAATAAAGCACTCGGATACATTAAAATCTAAAAAAAAAGCACTCGGATCCATTAAAAACTAAAAAAAAATGCAGTCGAATCCTTTAAAAACCGAAAAAAGCACTTGGATCCTCTAAAAAACAAATCATATCATCTATACAGGCAAGCACCCAACCCTCAGAGTCACGTCGTCTATACACGTTTGTTTACATGGCGGAGAAGCAACAGGTGTTTGTTGTTACCTTTTCGTTTTTTTTATCACTTGCTGAGCCCGAGGGATAACGCGTTACGTCGATTCGTGACTGTCATTGAGGTTGTTACAGGTAAGACATTTTGTAGGGAGGTTAAAAGAGGAGAAGAGGAGATTAGATAACGTTTGAGAAGCGGGAGAAGAGAGGTGGGCGGGAGGAAGCATCGTTTGAAGGTGGAATGAATTAGGATCTTTAAGACTCGTAAAAAGGCTGGTGTTTGAATGGGGAAAATTGATGGGAAGATGTGAAGATTCGCGCTTTTCAAGGCAAGAGTGTATATGCACTGTGAAATGTCTTTTGTCGGTTGATATGTGTGTTTAAAATATGGTTGATTTTTAAAATTTCACCGAATAATAAAATACATAATTATTAGTAACAGTCAGGGCTGCGGTCAGTTTATTCTTGTCAATTCAGTTGGCTTTTAATTAAGAATAAATGCAAACAAAGAAATCTACATTTCTAATTCAATATTGTATATTAGGAGGGCAAAGTGTTAAGCATATCCATTTTTTTGTATAATTTTAGTGCATGACAGTCAGACTTACATGACTGACAGTACATGGGATAGTTAAAGTGAAGAAATCTAAAATGCTAAATGCTTCATTTATGTCAACTATCACTGACAAGATTTAGAAATTCTCATTTAGTTTTAATTTGATGAGAACAAAGCTGGTGTTCCTCTTCTGACAAACCTTAGTTATTGAATTAGAAACAATTTGTATGAAATACTTTTGATTTCAGAAGAATGTAAAATAAGAGTACAAATTTTCTTTCAAATTAATCACCTACATGGTTTGCCTTGTGCATAGTAGTTGTGGCTGTCTCTACACTTCAGGACTCTATAGTGTGCTTTATGTATAAACTTGTTCTGGCAGGATGGAGCTTGGACTAATTTCTTAATTAGAATAGCATCGGGTTATTATATTTCATAATGACTAGTAATATTGCCCTGTGCGGTATGAAACTCCTGTAGCCTATATACATTCCCTGTATTTTTTTATTATTTTAAATTATTTTTTTGCCTTCAGAATTGAAATGTAGCCTAATGCTTATTTTCTCCCCTTCAGGATGGGGACCCGTGTGGGTGGAGGTCTTCATTTCACAGACAAGTCTTTGGTTGGGGTTTCTAGGCTGCTTGAGGACCTGCAACATCTCCTGGAGGATAAAGACTCGGCTGATATTATCTTCGTTGTGGGTCGGGAGGAGACGCACATTGCAGCGCATAAGCTCATACTTAAAGCAAGGTAATGTGTATAGTTTGTTGATTTTTCATTCTTTTTTTCTCCTTTTAGTTCTCTTCCTCCTTCTCCACTTCCTCCTCTAGTTTCATTCTCTTTTGCTTTTCCTTCGTTTTTATTCATCATTTATTCCTTGTGTAAGGTATAGACAGTGTCCACAGGGACTTATTTAGAGTTAGTTATCAAGCTTTGTAACATCAAACTTGTGCTTCTAAATTGGGTACATGATTTATGGGGTTTAACATGCTCTATTATATATTGATTGATTGATTAGCTATATTTTTTGTTTCCTCATTTGTTAGTTTTATTTTTTGTTTCCTCATTTGTTTGTTTTATTTTTTATTATTTCTTTTTATTAGAAAATCATTTTGAATATACCATGGGCTACCTTGATAACCAACCACATTTTCTGCAAAGTGTCATCTTTATAAGGAGAAAGGAAAGGAAGGTGTGGGAGTGTGGTGCACAAGCATGAACAAGGCACCAAATGAGTAAATGAGCAAACGGCAGAGGGATTTGTGAGGACTCATTAGGGCCCATGGCATGCTTCCCTTCAGAGCAGCTGCTGCTATGGCTACTGGCTGAGCCTGGCATATTCCTAGTGGATTATCAATAAGAATACTAACAGTGTCAATATTAATAGTATTGGAAAGAAAAACACAATTCAAGGAATGGGGAAATCCGGATCTGTCACAAGGTAGACTCCTTGCTGGCAGAGTATATGTGGAGCCACCTGTATGTAACAGAACTCACAAAAACATAAAGGGGACAGTACATAAATCCACTGACACTGGGTTAATACTATTGTTATTGGTATCCTTATCATTATCATTGTTATTGCTATTGTATTATCATCATTATCATTATTATTGTTATTGTTAATGTCAATATTGTTATTGTTGTTACACTTCCCTCACAGTGATAAAGAATGATATCAACCCAGCCTGTCTTTCCACAGATGTAAAAGTTTTGTAGAAGCATCAGGAGGGGAGGTGTGTGTGATTCCTGGCAGCACCGTGACCCCAGGGAGCCCTCAGACCACCATCCGGCTACCACAGTATCAGCCCAACATCTTCAGACAAGTTATTTGCTATATCTACACGGGCAAGGTATAATCATATTTGAATTCTTAAGGAGGAATAATATATAAATATATATATATATATTTATTTATGTACAGCTATACAGCAAACTACTGTTAGGAAATTATGCTAAACATTCTGACACAAGAAATGAAACTTTTCAAAATATTTGTTAAAGCTAGGAAACTGTTGGTACTCCTGATTTTCCAACTACTTTTGGTAAATCACGAATTAAAAGGCAATAAATTTGCAGGTAATTTATGCATCTTCTGCATTTTTTTTTTTTTTTCATTAAAGTCAAAACAAGGAAAATAAGATATAGGTAATATACTCAAATTTTATATTTTGTGTTCCTACCCTTTGCTGTCAAAACAGTTTGAGTGTCGAGACATAGACGCCACTAACTCGGCTGTCAACACACGCTTTCCTCAGAGCTTAGACGTTCCTATGCTTGCAAGGAATTATTCACGACTGCCACACGATAACGGGTGTGGTCTTGATACATGTATTTTGACATGGGTGCCCACACATTTTCAACTGGATTGAGATCCGGAGATCTGGATGGATATGTTAAAAAAGTGGTGTTGCGATGGTCATGAAAATGGTTAGATAATTAGGTTTGTGACCACCATCTTGACCCAAGAGAAAAGTAAGTATAAATAGAAATTACATCACTATTTATCTTTCCACTGGCCAGTTCACTCACGCAAGCAATGTCTCAGTTGTTCATGAGCCCCGGCATCTAGTCAGTTCAAATTTCCGTTTTTTCCTATTGATAGCTATAGACCAATTGTGCATAGTACTACAAGAATGTAGGTTTCCTTATCAACTTATTGATTATTTCCTACAGTTTGGTGTGGTTTGAAATACCATTATGGAAGGGTAAAGAATTTTCATAGAATGAGCAGGCAGATAATTTTTGCAAATTATTGAAATGGAGGAGCTAAACCAACTAGAACCACAGTAGATTAGAATATCAGTTACATTTTCTTTTGTAAAATGTTAAAATCTCCCTGGGTCCAGGGTACGCCTGGATTAGGTGAAGTTAGCAAACATTAGGCTTATGTGTGTGCAGGGCAAAGTCAGTCATTGTCCCAAGTTGTCAGACACTACTGAAACTCATGGGTAAGTTCAGGTGCTTGATATCTTTAATACCAGGCACAATGTTATAAGTATTTTTATTCCTTTGCATGGGTTTAATTGCCACAGACTCTGATATGATATATACACTAGCAGCTCAACACTATATTGTGTGTTAAAAAATCAACAAATGTTCACTTCTACTGCCCTTTGCAGTCATTCATCCTCACACTAATGTTTTTCCATCTCCCTCAGGTTGTGATGAGTGACAGTGGAGTGTTTGAGGTGTATGGAGTGGGCCATGACTTGGGCCTCGAAGAGCTCTGCCAGCACTGTGAGGACCACATAGCCACCACCATGACCCCCCACAATGCTTGCACATTCCTCATGGCTGCTCTCAAGATGGAGCAGAGGACTGGAGGTGAGTTTGGTGCCATCTTATGGGTATGCTGTTAGTTAGTTTTTTCTTTCTTTCTCTCTGTCCTCTCCTCTCATTCTTAGGGTAGATATAAGGTTTTATTTCTCCTATTTTCTCTCTCTTTGGGAAGGGTTACAGTTCATGCATTTCTGTTTTTTTGATGATTTGGTTGTGTTTAATAGAGATAATGTTCATAAGTAGTACATATAAGACAAGCATCTAATATTGTTCCTTTAAAGTAAATTCCCACCTGTTTACAATGAAAAATAGTTCTAGAGCTATGAATATTTGTTTTTTAATTGCTGTGATTTTATTGTTTCACATTATTGTCTTTTATACATGACTGCCTCCTTCACACTTCCAGGGAGTAAAGGCAGTCGCTCTTTTGTCGACCGGTGCGTGGCTTACATCGGAGAGAATGCGCTTGAGTGCATGCAGACCTCTTCATTCCTCAACCTCTCTAGAGAAGCTCTTATCCGACTCATCTCCTCTGACAATGTAAGATGGGAAAACAGAAAGGGAGCTTTTGTTTATAGTGTAGTTGGGCTACTGTGGTGAATCTTGTACCTTTTTTCTTTTCCATTTACTTGCTGAATCCTAGAAGTCATGGCAATGTTTGTTCCCAGTTTTTTTGTTTGTTTTTCCTTTATAAAAAAAAATAGGTAGCAGCTTGTTCGATTTGGGACTAAACTGTGTTACTGCTCTGATTATCATGGTGTTTCATCATCTTCCACTTTCATCCTCAATAGAATATATCACACCAAAAATCCTTAAAATACACAAATGAACTAAATTGTACTTCCTATGCAGATAGGTCAAAATGATCACATGGTATGTCGACTTGTCCATTTATTGCACAGCTGGCGCTTGAGGAGGAGGATGTGTGGCGGGGAGTCCTGAACTGGGCCAAATACGGCGCGGGAGTCACACAGCCCACACCCCACTGGACAGAAGAGGAGAGACTGCGAGTGTGCCAGCAGCTCCAGGGGGTCATTAATCATGTCCGACTTCTACTCATTGGTAAGAGTTAGAGGGAATCTTCCTGTCATATCTTGAGATTAATACAACACAGGAAAGAGAGAGAGAGAGAGAGAGAGAGAGAGAGAGAGAGAGAGAGAGAGAGAGAGAGAGAGAGAGAGAGAGAGAGAGAGAGAGAGAGAGAGAGAGAGAGAGAGAGTGTGTGTGTGTGTGTGTGTATGTGTGTGTGTGTGTGTGTGTGTGTGTGTGTGTGTGTGTGTGTGTGTGTGTGTGTGTGTGTGTGTGTGTGTACATGCTCCTGTGTGTTTGATATCTGTTACTGGCCATTTTAAAAATAGAGATGGGTCAGTCTTGGCATCTAGATATAAGGTTTCTGAATATTGATTTGAAAACTGCATCTCAACTGGAAATTTTACCCTGCCAGCAAAAAATGTGTAGACAACTCAGGCACACAAATAAATGCACAAGGGAAGATGATAACGAGACCTTTCACTAACAGAAACAGTAAAGACCTCCCTCCTTCTCAAAAAAATCCAGATAGCCAAGTTTTTGCCGAGGAGGTGGAGCCAACGGGAGCGGTGCCCATGGAGCTGTCTCTGGAGAGGTACCGATACGCCGCGCTACCCAATAAGTTCAAGGACAATTCCACCAATGAGGACAAGCGCCTTCAGCCTAGGGTCTCGCTCAAACTCTTCGCTGGCTCGCAGATTCTTGTAAATGTGAGTGTTTGTTTATTTTTTTTGTCTTCATTGTGCTTTGTTTTACTTTTTATTTTAATTTATTTTTTTAATTTTGTCTTTTTTTTCTCTCTTTCTCTCTCTTTTTTTTCTTTTCTTTTCCTTTCTTTTCTTTTCTTCTTCCCTCTGTTATGTTTAACATTATTCTTATTTGCCATTCCAGGAAAAGATGTCACTGCAGAGGGTGTTAAACAGCTGGTATGGTGTGAACAAACAGATGTGGAGACTTGTTTACCGCGCTTCCACCCACGGCTACTCAGCAGACGCTTTTCACCGCCATTGCGACGGGGTGGCTCCCACATATACGATTGTGATGGTGTGTCTCGTGAGAATTGTTTTCTTTTTGTATATAGTTATTGTTTTATAGTAGTAATCAGATTAGGCAAATTTAATCACACAGAAAGAGATCCAAAGAGAGAGAGAGAGAGAGCCAGAGAGAGAGAGAGAGAGCCAGAGAGAGAAAGAGAGAGAGAGCCAGAGAGAGAAAGAGAGAGAGAGCCAGAGAGAGAAAGAGAGAGAGAGCCAGAGAGAGAAAGAGAGAGAGAGCCAGAGAGAGAAAGAGAGAGAGAGCCAGAGAGAGAAAGAGAGAGAGAGAGCCAGAGAGAGAAAGAGAGAGAGAGCCAGAGAGAGAGACAGAGAGAGAGAGAGACAGAGAGAGAGAGAGAGCCAGAGAGAGAGAGAGAGAGAGAGAGCCAGAGAGAGAGAGAGAAAGAGAGAGCCAGAGAGAGAGACAGAGAGAGAGAGAGAGAGAGAGCCAGAGAGAGAGACAGAGAGAGAGAGAGAGCCGAGAGAGAGAGAGAGAGAGAGAGAGAGCAGAGAGAGAGAGAGAGAGCAGAGAGAGAGAGAGAGAGAGAGAGAGAGCCAGAGAAGAGAGAGAGAGAGCCAGAGAGAGAGAGAGAGAGAGCCAGAGAGAGAGAGAGAGAGAGCCAGAGAGAGAGAGAGAGAGAGAGCCAGAGAGAGAGCCAGAGAGAGAGAGAGAGAGAGAGAGCCAGAGAGAGAGAGAGAGAGAGAGAGCCAGAGAGAGAGAGAGAGAGAGA